ACTAAAATTGATTTATTTTGACTTATTTAAGTAAACGAGCCTCATATCAGATTGAATCTTATTTTGTGGCAAAAACATAAAAAAATATATGAGTCACTTTGTATTAAAGAGCTGACATTTATTTAGTTACTACATGCTGACTTACAGACTAATACATCCATCACACAGGCAAGTTAAATATAGCAAATAAAAAATAATCAATGTCAGTTTAGTTAATTTTAAATTACAATTTAAATATATGTCAATATCGCAGTAATAATTAAAGAATGGAATAATAAAACCTAAAAGATTAATTGCCTTTTTACAGTTAGTTGTTGTGTGTTTATGAAAATCCACTTGCGTGTCCAATTTCAAGCCAAGATCCGTAATTTCATTACCTCTCTAAGGTTTTGTCAAAAGATTTGTAGTCAACCATAATATTATGTTATTTTAGCGAAAAAGTGATGGTTTTACATTTAGAGTTTTTGAATTGCATACGATTATTATAACTCCATTCTGCAACAGAATTTATGTCAATTTGCAACGCTTTCGCATTTTCAACTTTATCTATCCCTAGAAATAACTCATCATCTGCAAACTACTGATACTGCGCCGCTGTATCAGATTTGGACAGGTCATTTATCATTAATAAAAAGAGTGTTGTACCCAAAGTACTTCCTTGACTTACTGCAGATCGCGTAAATTTTTTTCCGACTCATACATACTCAACCGTACAAATTGACAACGGTCCTTGAGATAACTTGCGAACAACTTGAAAAGTTTTGGGAAGAAACCTGCCTTCGCCATTTTCTGTGACAATGTCTAAGCCGCATCCATTTGTTCGTAAACATAAGCAAGTGTCGTTAAGTTGGTGGTGATCGAACGCGCACCTCGGAAGCCCTGTTGACTGTTATCCAAAAGACTTTGGGCGTGTCAACCGTTATGCTAGCCCCAATTGTTGACCATTGTAAGTGTTTAATATTGATCGAAAACCTTATCAAAGACGCAATTTATAGGTCATGATGTCCGGTCCGGGTTCTCCCTTAGGAATAGGCGTAACACAGGAAATTTTCCATTACTTAGGATATTTCGACTTTTGTAAAGAGAGATTGTAGATAAATAACGAGAAAACACTTAAAACCAACCTACAGTCTTTGGCTAGGAACACGGGAATACCGTCAGGACTACCTGCCGATTTCGACTTCAGAAGTTTTATACCACGTTTTAGATCCACCATGTCTATTCTTGGAATGATGGTTTCCACATCACTAACCGAATAAACTACATAAGCTGCTTCTTCTGGGTTGAGACCTGGCGTTACATTTGAAAATACGGACCCAAAATACTGTGAAAGTTGAATGCCTAACCACCACTTCATCTTGAAATGTAAAAGAGTCAATAAGGACATATTCCCAAAACTTTACTGGTTTGTCAATTATATTTTCTTGAATGCTTCGTATATGTCGCCGATTTATTAACTTTCACTATTTATTAACTTTTTAGTATGTCATCTAGAATATGGAAACAATTCCCTGTTAAATAGTTTATCCTCAACTTTAATTTTTTTAAGGTGAAAGTGCTTAAGATTTTACGTTGTTTTTAATTTCATCTGTGAACCACTTTGGATAAATGTATTTTGTAATTCGGCATATGCGATTTTTATATGGAACAAACAAGTCAATACATTGGTAACTTCGAATAGAATGCATCCAAGGCTGAGCCAACATTATTACTGTTCAGTACATCATTCCAATGTAAGTCAGTGATGGAATCGTACAAGTTTGCTTTGTGCCAGTTCCAGTTGTGATAAGTTTCTGGGCGTTCAGCGAGTAGGTATGTAGGCTGTGGCAGAGGAGTAACACACAGTTAAATTTATTGATATATCAAGCGTCAGATGATATTTATCTATAGCCATAAAAGGCTCAGTATTAAGAGACTTATAGCTCAGTGGAAACAACGTTGCAACATAGAACCTTGACTGTTTAGAACATTGATATGCACTACTAATTTGCAGAATTCACAAAAATTTTCAAAGTAAATGAATTCAAATTAAAATCTCTAAGTAGAAGAACATGTAAAACAGAAAAAATACAAATTAAATTATCATCACATGACGTTATGAAAATCACTATCAAATTCTTAGTTTACTCATCCGTTTGACACTCATACTTTTAGTTGAGTCTTATAGAACGGAGCCTCTCGCTAGCAGAACGACGGTACGCTGAACTTCACATACATAAGAGGTGAAATACTCTTAAGTGAAGCTTGACTCTTACAGAAAGGAGCCACTCGGAAACACAGAGACGATAGCTAACCTTCACCGGACTTTCGTGGAGGTCTCAGCTTTGCTTCCCAAGAGTTCCCGATCGGAATGGGAAAGTTAACTTTTACGGTTTCAGTTTTCCTCAAAATACTCCAGAGCACTAATTTATAAAAGGAACTTTACCAAATTATAAAATCATAATTTATAAATTGTTATTAATTCGATTAAAAACAAAAGTCATCTACTTTGTAACTGTATATAAAATTTATAAACCATTTTTTCTTTATTGCACACATTGAGTGACATCTTACGGAATTTCCCAACAACAATTCGACCTGTTAAGGATGCTTTAAAAGCATTATACTGTACAGTTACAGTGCTGCCAAATAATGTGCTTATACGGCTTACACAGGAACTACATACGGTGGCATAGAATGCTATGGGAATTGAAAGTAATTTCTACTATTTACCTAATTGAACTTTAAGTTTAATATTTTTATAAATCATCACAGACACTATATTATAACAATAACAATTTATATTATAACCATAACAATACAATATATAATAATATGTTATGTTGTCTTATTGATATACTTAAACATTTTAATCCAAAGCGAAAATAAAATAAATATCTGCTTTAAATGTTTAAAATTGTTCACTATCAAATATAGCTTTATGTTTTATTAATAACTCCATAAATCCTAAAATATATATCAATTTTAATACCCCTAAAATTAACAATGGTGAAGAAAAATTACAATTATATTTTTAAGTATTGATATAAAATTTTCTTAAAGGATATGACGCCATCTGTGGAGACTTTCCCGTAATTCAATCTAATCTGCGGCGTCAGTCTCGTAGCGTCGTAGTCGTAGCATTTTGTTGTTTGTGGGAGCATTTTCAGTACTAATGAAATGATTAAAATTTTATGTAAATAATAATATGTAAAAAATTATCTTATTTACACAATTGATTAAAACACGTATCGCAGCCGTCGGTACTTAATTTGCTAGTAAAAGATTACGATTCAATCAATTAATAAAGCTGAAGATAGCAAAAGGTTTCTACGAACACTACTTTTATTTGATTACCAAACAGATTTTAGAAAAAGTAAGCATTTCCGAGTGAAGTGGAATAAGGGAACGGATTTAGAGTTAGGTGTGATCTATTCTAAGCAAAGTATTTACGTTGACATCTACCTATAATGTAGAGTGCAAATAAGTAATCTTTACAGTTCTACCTCTCAAATAATTTGATTATAGGTACAAATTGTAAGGTACCAAATACTTCAGTAACGAAATATTTATAATCGTAGTTGTTGGTGAAGTCATAGAAAAACAACTGAATACTTTTAAATTTATTCTTAATACTTTTAAAAAAAATCAAGGCGTTTGTATCTTTCTTTTTTATCAAAGGTTTTGCTCTGACGCATCGATCCGCTAATAATTCTGAATTTAATTACGAACAAACTATCTGTTGAAGTATATTTGAACTATTGAACAAACTACTGAAGTTGTAGACTGTCGTTTGGCACAGGTGCTCATAACTCGGTAAGTACTCTCGATTGTAAGTATATCAGTGAACAATCCGCTTCACATATTTTTCATTCGCTCTTTAATTAATTAAATTCGCATGCGAGGTCGGTTATTTACACTTCATCTGGCTAGATTACATAGGTTATCTGTCTGTATGCTGTAATCTTTTAAACTACACGACGGATTTTATTGCGGTTTTCATCAATATATAGAGTAATTCAGGGGGAGTTTTATATACAGGGTTATGGGTAATTAGACAGGATCCTTTTAAGGGGTTGTAGGGAGGTCATTTACATTTTTTTCCAGTTCGTGATAAATAATAATAAAACCGAAATAATCTTGACCCAAACAGAAACTACAGAGTTTTAAATTAATAAAAAAAAGTTTTTGTTGTTGTAAATATGGAAACAAAAGTACATTAAAAAAAACTTCTGGATATACAATGTGGGGTGAAAATAATTATAAATGACCTCCCCTACGGCTCCTTCATAAGATCTGGTATAATTACCCATAACCCTGTATAATACAGAACCATGCGGGCGAAGTCGCTGACGAAAAGCTAGCATTATTGTTTAGGATCGCGATGAATACCTACATCTAAAACTGTTGTAGTAAAAATGTTCAATATTACCATCGTTAATAATTTTACGTCCCCACTGCAGGGGCTCAGGCCTTCCTTATGCAGGTCAAGGAGGATGGGTCGTGACCCTCCACGCTGGCCTAATGCGGATTGGTGGTTATTAACAGCTGCAAATGCAGCTTAACGTGCCATTCCAAGGACGGTGTAGCTCAAGATAATAATTTTTTGCCCCCCATTCCGTGATAACAACAATCGCGGGCCACGGCCCTTATCCACTACGCCACCAAACTAGTAAAAATGTTATTGTGAAATAATAATGAGGAAAGACAAATGACATTTGGTTTCCTGTACTAACAGTGATGAGTTACTAGAAATAAATAAATAGACAGGTCAGAACTTATCTGTCCAATTTCAGCAAGTAATCTAAATCTGAATCTGAATAAAACGCTGTGTGCTGCACTCTGTGCAATGATACAATTTTTAAGATTCTGAAACACTCGTGTGTGCGTGTTTCAGAATCTTAAAATTGTATAAAATACGCTTGTGTTACTAATATTAAAAATGTTATAAGAAAAATTTCTAGTATAAGTTTAATATGACAAAATATTTAGTTCAAAAAATATATTTATTAAATTACAACCTATTCTAGACTCAACCACTCTACCAGAAGCTGACACTGGAGATCATAATCCCTGATGTGTTCAACCTCCAAAGTGATCACCTCCACATCATCATGACATACTGTGGCATCAAAGTCTATAACATCATCATAATACTCAACCGAACTGAACATGTACTCGCTACGTCTCTTCGGTTCCTTATCAGGCTTGGCTTTACCATCATGCGTAGTAGCTGTATCAACTTTCTCTTTTTTACTTACATTCGCACTCTTCTTATCTTCAGTAATAACAGTAGTATTATCAGAACCTTCACCTACTTTCTTCTTATTATTAATATCAATAGTAGTGTTTTTTACAACGCTAGGTTTAAACACTGTTTCAATGTCTGCAGGAATACGACACACGTCGACTTCTAAATCCTCTTCATCGACAGGCAGCTGCTGAGCTGAAACGTATTCCACTAACGCACCGTCATTTTGTAGAGACTTCCTGTATCTCATAACTTTTTCAGCGAATGTTTCCTCTTTGCAACCACTCCTACGCTGGCCGAAATCCATATCCCTTATATGTGCCACATGCCACTCTGCATCGTCAAAATCATCTAGAGTTCTTCTCTCTGGTACATCCACATTGGTCCTATGTTTCTCTAGTCTCAATTTAAGGTCATCATTAATTTCCTCGCTAACCACTGCTTCTGCTTCCACTATTAAACATATACAACATATGATATTGTATATATAAATAAACATTGTAGACTTAACCGCTCACATTGGTTGTTATCTTGAAGACTGGGCTTTTTTTAATTAATCGGAACTTGTATGTTTTCACACAGTTAGTAGCGCGTGAAATTAAATTAGTTATATGTTCATAAATTTATTACTAGAGCATTGATGTCTGTCTAGTACATTTATAAGAGAAATAGTATTTGGAACACCAATAAAATACCTACTTATTGATTCTACTCATTGGAAAAGCATGAGTCCCAGGTATAGGAAGATTAATGAACTAACGATGACTGGGTTTCCCGCTAATTCGGCCATGGATTCCCGGGTCTCGTCTCTTGTGGGGGGGCCACGTGAGGGTACACTGTTGTGAGGGTTTTAGTGGGTAGGTCTTTGCAAGTCCATTGAGTTAATACCCGCTGGATGGACACACAGAGGGGAGTTCCACATAACTTAGTCATTCGCCAGACAGCGGGGTATGATTAAAGCATTTTTCCTACAATAAAAAAGAATTTGGTTTTTATCGCCCTTATCATACAAATTCTTCTTCTTTATTTTAACTCCTTTGAACTTATTTTCGCGATGAAAACTATCCTATCCCAAGGTCCACTCTATTGATTCTATATTTGTACCTTTTATCAAATATAATTCAATAGTTTAGGACACTTTCACACGCGGTTTCTGAATTGAGAATTTGAAGTTGAGCACGTCTCAAACCGTGCTTAAGCCATTATAAACGTCTATTAAACAGGTTTTCATTAATGATTTATAATTTTTAATGATCATTTGATAGCAATTTGATAAAACTAGGACTTTTTGCCAAATGAAACGTAAAAAACTTAAGTTATTGAGAATAATCAGTTGAGATTTTGTGCTTTTTCTCAATTCAGAAACCCGCCGATAGAGTTACTATAATATTAGTATGGATTTTACGAGATACAAATTTTTCCAAAACATACATAATTGATCGGCTTTGATTACCAAACAGTATTTAATTTGCCAACGATACAGCGTACTTAAATCACAGTTGACAGATCTTTATCTACCACTCTAACTAATCTATTCAGCCTTCGACAGGGATAACTACCCCTCAAACGTTAGGAAAATACTTCAATTACCCTCCCCCCGCTGCCTCCCCGGCGCCCCGCCGAGAGATCAAAACAGCCCAATTACCTTGCAGCACGACACCACCCTTTAATAAACCCTCGTTTGCTCAAATCTGAAATAAAGACGCAAATAAATAATCACAATTTCGAAATGAAAAGCCCTGAAATTAGCATCTCGTTTGAATAAATTGACAGATAATATGACTTCGAGACCCCGCCAAAGTTGACGGTCTGTTTCAATTGTCTCTCGTAAAGCGTAGCACCGCTTTAAAGCTGAGCGTTCTATACGATGCTCTTAGTTCGTGTTTGGATTTGCAGCGCTTCAGCGGCTGCTCGCTCATCTGCGGTGTTAACAAGTCGCTAAGAGATGCAAATTGACAGCGGTTGGCAACGGTGATTTGAAATGGCGCCAAAACATTTGCATAATTTGTTTGAAATTGGAATGATTGCTCGCTTACAAACGGTCGCCAAAGTGGAAATATTGAAAAGCTGACAATAATTTGGAATCAATAAATATTACCTATTGTCATTCATATGTCTTTATTTTATTTTTAAATCTGTTTTGTTCCTTGTGTTGGTGAGTTTGTACACAATTATATTTAATCTGATAGACAATTCGTAAGGCAATAAAATACCTACGCCACGAAAATTTGGTTAATATCAAATAATATCTAATCACTGACTCAGTCTCATTATTACATATAAACGTACATGTAATAAGAGACTGAAATTCACAAATTGTATGATATTTATGGACAATCATGGTAAACAAGGACGAATCTAGAAATGTGTGAGTAATACCTACTACTCACTCAATTATACTTTTTCCGTTAACGAGACTTGTTTTGGTAAATTATTAATTGTCAATCAATAAATAGAACACGAAAAATTGTAAATATTATTAAAATTTTATTTTATTATAAAAACTGCTATAGTTTTCTTAACATAATAAATTTTCTGTAAATATGAATGTAAACTAGTTTCGGAATGCATACTAATATTATTAATAATTTTTAAGTATTCCACTTATTATTTTTTTCATACATTTATTTTTCAATCATATAAAAGAAATAAAAACTAATTTAAAATGTACTCTCCATTATTTGTTATGACCTGTTTTCAGCTTATTGATTCCTTCCTCGTAAAACTTGGCCGGTTTGGAGTGGAAGATCCCAAGGATAGAACCCAAGGATTCACTGCCTGGTCTGAATCAGAAAAATTCCATTTTTAGTGTACTCTTTGCAGTTGTTGAACATACGCATCTCCAGTAACCGTTTCATTCCTGTTTCAGAACTCATAGTGAATGATCCCTTAGCGATCCCACCATACACACAACAAAATTTTCTTCCCATGAATGTTCGCTTTAGGATCTGGTAGAGGTGGTTGGCCTTTATCAAGCCACTGCCTTTTACGGACGATGTTCTCGTAAGTAACCCATTTTTCATCACCAGTGATAATATTCTTCAAAAAAGATTAATTTTTTTCTCTTGAGGAGAGACATGTGGCAATCGACATCCTATCCGCTTTATAGCGTTCACTCAGATTATGGGGTACCCATTGTCCCAGTTTGCTTACTTTACCCGATTTCTCTAGGTGGCGGCAGACAGTTGATTATGACGTATTAAGCTTCTCCGCTAACTATCTCGTGGTTTGGCGTGGGTTTTGTTCCAATATTGACTTTAAAATATCGTCATCGAACTCTGAAGGGCGACCCCCTCTTGGTTCGTCTTTCAACGTCACATCTCCAGAACGGAATTTGGAAAACCAATTTCTTACTTCCCGATCGGTTATCACTCCCTCACCATACACACTGCATATTTTTTGGGCCGTAGCACCAGCACTATTGCCTTGTTTAAATTACCAAAGCATAACATGGCGTAAGTTTACTTTTTGATTCTCCATTTTAAAGCTGAAAAAAATCAACGTAACGTGCACAACACTAGACAACTGTCTAAAGACTAAATAAAGTCCTACCTGCGTAGCGAAAACAAAAATCCCATCACCATCATCATCACCAGCCCTTTTACGTCCCCACTGCAGGGGCTCAGGCCTTCCTTATGGATGGTTAAGGAGGATGGGCCATGACCCTCCACGCTGGCCCAATGCGGATTGGAGGGTATTAACGACTGCAAATGCAGCCGGGACCAACGGCTTAACGTGCCTTCCGAAGCACGGAGTATCTCGAGATAATAATTTTTTGGTCACCCATCCCGTGACCGACCCTTGCGAAAGTTGCTTAACGACTACAATCACGGGCCGCGGCGCTAATCCACTACGCCACCGAGCTACTCCCGTGCCCAACAAAAATCCCGTGTCTCGGTAACCCATTGTATGTGTAAACAATAACAATACATAAATAATATGACTCAACCTAATTAATATCATTGGGTCATGTTATCATACACTAGAGCTGTTAGAATAGTATATGTCACAATAAAAAAAGTTTTAGAGCAAAATTTGTCAGAAATGTCATTTTAACAGAATTTTTAATTATGTATCTGAATAAGTGACGACATCTGATTGGTGTTCGTGATTTTATTAAATAAATATTTTGTTTTGTTCGATATTAAGCAAGGGTTGGTGACTCACCGCAAGCGATCCTTTATCGACACGGGTTCCGAGGGCTAGATTCTGGAAAGGGGTGCGTCAACGCGGTTGCCAGCAAAAATATACACGGTAATCCATAGGCACTGATCCATCGTTCTTCCAAAATGTCCTTATTCTCAATAACATGAACAATTCACCAAGACTTCAAAACTAGGTGCGCGGCGTTAGGATTTTTTTAACACACAGAAAATAAACCTTAACCCAAGAATTAAGGGTGGGTATTTGGAACGAAGACAGCCAGTCGCCTTACCCACAGACGATAAAAAATTTACCCACAGTTGTGTTGTCTTTTATAGTTCATAAATAATGAAATTGTCATGCCTGGGGTATATTTAAGAGAGAAAAATAGTATCTTGTCTATTATAATTATAATTTTATTCAGATCTCTACATCATTTCAATGTGAGCCAAAAACAAACAATGATCTACATATTTTTTCATACATTAAACTGTCATTGAAATGTAACAGTACGCCTACTGAATAAATTTTATACAATTTTTAAATTAGAAAACTACTTTTTTATATACCTCAGTTACGATTATTTACATACTAAAGAGATGGACTTAATAATACAATTTATTGCACAATTAAATTAAAATCACCACTTTGCCACCTAAATCTAAAGTAATTAAACTTAAATCAAATAATAAATTTGAATTTACATTTCATAATATGACAATGACACGTACATGTGGGTCACAAATGCTAAATACTTGTGTTCGGATCTCTACATCACATCAAGAAGTTAGTGTTTCAGGTAGAACTTTACACTATCCATCAATTTATTTAATGAAAAAAATGTACAAAGTTACATCGAAAAATGGCTTAACAGGTATACTAGATAAACTTCAATTTTTTATTAACAAGTCGATAAGAAGTGAAGAGACTTTCACTTCTTATCGACTTGTTAATAAAAAACAATAACAATACATAAATGCACTATTTTAACTACTTTAAGTTCATTGCTTGATCTGTTGTGGCTCATTAATCTAAAGCTCATAGATGGCAGTGCATGTACGCCGGGTATGGTGGTAGGAGCGCGCAGGCCAGCGGCAGCGTGTGCGCTGACAGTTCACGGTCACCTGTGGCCGCTTGCGCACGAAGCTGCTCCAGCCGCAGCTGATTCTGACGTTTCCATTTAGTCCTACAAGTGTTTAGATTATAGTTATTTTGTCCAACTTTTAATACCACGGTTAAAAGTCATTCCATCAGAATTATAGGCCATAGGTTAATAAACTTTTTTCTTCACTTTGCCAGCAGTAGCTGGCTATGTGTAGTAACAAACAAGAACTGTAAATGATGAAAAATAAAAAACCTTCGATTTTTTATCACGGATAACTTGTTGTTTTAGTTGGGTTGCAAAAAAAAACTTTGCTAATACTTCGTATTTACAAATACAATTAGGTAGTTATCACTAAATACATAAAATAAAATAATCTTGTTTAAAAATGTGCGTATGGTTCAAAAGCACTAAAAACTATAAGTAGACGAAATAGTTAATAACTATTATTTATCTTATTTTGTAGTCGGTATTAATTTTTAATTAAAAGAAACCATTCTAATAACATGTTGGGCGCCAATGTTTTTTAAACAGTCACTAACTGGCCATCAAAACGAATTATAAAACAACTGTTTAGTAAAGAATTTACGTTCAATAAATAAAGAGAGTCACCTTCTGTTTTGGTACCAGGTCTTGACCTGCGTCTCGCTGAGGTTGAGCGCGTCGGCAACGTCCCCGCGATCCGCAACGCTCAAGTACTTCTGGCAACGGAACTTGCGTTCGAGATATGCTAGCTGCGCGTGAGTGAAGGCCGTACGTCGACGTCGTGGCTTGCGGCCGGAACTTGGTGCAGCGCGGGATGGTGGCTGCCGATCTAATAAGCAATAAGTTGTGATTTTTATATTTTAAGAAAAAAAATAGCAACTAGCTTGTATCATTACCATCATCGCCATGATAAGCATGTCAATATCTCAAATATATTCAACTTCCTCTCTGATTGAAATTAAATAAGGAAAACGGTTTATCCCCGCCATACCCCTATTTTTCTACCCACATATTGTTCTACCCACCGTAATTAGTAGTGATTGCTGGTTTTTTAACAATTGCAGAGGTAATCGGGACTACTTCCGTAGCACGGAAACATAAATATAAGGAAATTTTGGTCACCCATCTTATAATCAGCCATAGTGAAAATTACTTAAGCTCCATATCGCAGACCGCTCTAAACACTGCGCCATTAAGCTCCTGCTCATTAAGTTACTATATAAAACCGTTATCATAGCCAAAGCCCTACAGTCATATTATAAGATTAGTTAAAGATAAATTTGGTTTGAGGAGCTCGATGGCACAATGGTTAGCTCGTTCTGTCTACGATGTGGAAGTAAAGCAACTTTTGCAAGAGTTGGTCATAGGATAGGGGACAGAAGTTTACTGTCTCTAGCTCCTCCGTGTTTCAGAAGGCACGTTAAACTCTTGGACTTGGCTGCATCTCCAATCGTTAACACGCACCAATACCCACTGGACTGGCGTGGTAAATAATGGTCCATTTTCCCTATTCGATAATTTTGGTTTGCGTGACACCTTGCGATGGTGTTCATCATCGCTGATGATATAAACATATTATAATTATTAATTACCAGAAGAATCCTGTGTATCTCTCTGTGTGTTTCCAGCAATAACCGAAGCGGCGAATCCAGCTAGGAGTTGTGACTGAAATGAACTCTTTGACAAATCCATGGACCGTGCATATATACTATCCGGTAGAGATCCATTTATGCGTCCGAATGCTGAGTTTGTCTCGTTCGCACCATCTTTGTTACTCTCTCTGTCAGATCTATACAAGTGAAAGAGATTACCGTCGTAAAATTTCAACTGTTCGTCTGTTCGATTTTCATAATCATTTTCATCCTCTTTAAAAGGTGAATTATAATTAGAATTCGATATTCGATTGTTCGTATTATATTCCACTGGAGATAGACAATCTCTTTCTGTAGATTCTAGTTTCTTTTGATAGTTTTCAGAATCGTTTTCAAATGCCAATTGCCTTTTCGGGGTAGAAGTTTCACTGCGATTGTCTCCAACGGAAATATCATCTTCCACGTCAGAAGGCTCCAAGTTATGGCTTGTGGCTGTCGAATTACACCTGGCTGTATGTTCGTCATCATTAGGCACGCCACCTTAAAATATAGAAATCTGTTAAGACACAACAACCTATCATTAGTGTCAAAGGAGAGGTTTTTTTATAAAAGTAACAAAGAAGTTAAAACACCGCTTGACACTTAACTAGCGCCAGGAACAGAAGGCCTACAAAGGCGAGATCGCATAAAGACTCAGTTTTAAAAAAGGAACGACCATAGACACGAGTTTCTGCTCTAATTAATGCCTCGGGGCGTTCCGTTTCGCTCTCAAGCAATTGAATACGACGTCTATGAATGGCGAGTTTTAGCACTCGCTGGAAAAATCTTGTTTATGGTTACGTTTGTGTCTTTTAATTTGCGTGAAAATGGTGAAGAGTAGGCATACCTGATTCGGGGCGAGGTTTGTTTCTCCTCGCTAAACTTTGTATAGGGCCGGTAACTGTAGCGCGATTATTTGTTATACTTGAGAGATATGAAGAGGTGGGTATCTGGAGTGTTCCTCGTTATAATATCGCATAAACATGGTTTAGCTTACCGAAGAGGGGTTCTGAGATTTCTGCATGAATATTTTCACGATAACTACTATAGAAACCTTCTCATTTTCAAACTTATACCAGTGTAATCATTATTTTAGAAATTCGAATGATGCGATGAGTAATTAATCTGCCAGCAATAATAATCGAATATCTAATTCAAAAATTTTACATCTCGTTGCACCGTTAAATAAAAAAAAAATCTTTAACTTACGTTTTCGCAGAATATCTGAAGTACTATAAGTGGTATAACAATTAGGAACCCCTTCGTATTGTATCACAGATCGGTCTCTAGCACTACACGAGTGACACCGTGCTCTCAGACGGTGCGTGACAAATTAACGACCACCTGCTGCGTCTATAATATTTACTCTCATCGGTGATACGATACAGCAATTCGTACGAATAACTTAATATTTTAAGGACATATATATTTATTTTTATAGTGTACGAATAGAATCATAATTGCGTATTTAATTTCATAGTCGTGTAGCAAGCGCCTCAGTTCAGACATAGATCTCAATAAATATGATTTCAGTGCTAGCTTTACTGTGAGAAAATTAAGCGGAATAATTGGCAGACTTTTGTTGAATTGACCTTAAATTTGTATAATTCGGTTAATTCAAGATCCACTAGAACCACTCGAGGTGCAACCTATACGCACTTCCATTATGAATATGCATTAGTCTTATATCACAGATTACCTCAAATTGATGAATTGCTAACATTTTTCCGAACAAAATATAATCATAACAATAGTGTTATCCCTTCTTTTACTTTTACGCAAAAATCACAGTCGACATGTAAAGAGACTTTTATTAGATTTCAACTATTTTTTTCTTATTCTTGGAATCAAAAATATATTAAAAACATTGACTTATTGAATAGTGCAGAATAACTTTGGCGTAGTTTTTAGCGGCTTCGTTTTTTGTAAATTGTGATTCGCTTCTCAATTAAATCGAAAATTTCATAAAATGCGCGATGGCACTTTTTTGAGCTACTCGTCTAAAAAAATTGAATGTTATCTCCTTCATTGTCGTATAATTTGTAGCAGTCTCGAAAATTTGAAATGCTATTTCATAAAATTAGGTATATTATTGTGTAAATATAGTAAAAAAATATTTAAAACCAAAAGAAATCGAAATTAGCTTTAACTTGCTTGTGAGTATCTCCAATTTACGAGTACTATAATATTATTGTCACAAAGTAATTAGTACTTTATAAGAAATAAAGTTTTGATAATTATGTCCTATTTCAATAAAAACGATAAATATAACTGCAAAATCACTACAAAATTCGAACCATCAGAGCCCGGTTTCTTCGGCCGTGTAGCGATTTTGTATTTATAATAGGCCTCTTAAGTACTCTTTTTAATTTATGTTCATGTATTTTGATATTAGTTACATCTTCATGCCATCAGAATCAACGGATCTTGATGAAGTTTGACAGTTAGTTTGAATAATTATCCGTTTTTCTTCACTAAAATATTACCTATTGATATAGATGCCTACTACGTAAGTTATGACTCGTTTTTCCATCACGTTAAATTTCGTAATAAGCCACTCAGTAGTCTAACATGTCAAAACAACAATACTTATTGGCGCCCAACGTGGAATTTATATTAAGATCATTATTAAAATTTCAAATACAATAAAATTAAAACTTAACACAAAAAGGTCATGATTATAATTAAATTAATAGTAACTGAAATATAATTTCAGACAAAATAAAATAAAATACGGTAATATATGGTAAAATATTATTTTATGGTAATATATAACATACAAGGTGATGATTACACTTGATCAATTTTGCATTCACAATGGAAAATATTTAGATCATGTAATCATGAATACGGACGTGTGTTTGTGAATATCGAGAACCAATATTTAATTAGTTTTAAATAAAATTGCAATTAAAGGTAAAGTGTGTCAAAATCGTATCTCTTTTATTGATTGGTATAGGTAATGTGTAATCGTAATGAATTAAAAATAATCCCCATTATTTAACAAGATGGATAGTTCTTCTAATAGAAGTCATAAAACTTCAAGAAGCCCACCGCCTGCCAGACATCAGGAGGAGAAGGTAATAATTATAATAATAATAAAGTTGTTTATTTGTCTTTCGTAAAAACATATAAAACAGCAAGCCACATTACTTTGTTATCTCAAACATTTCAATATTTACATTTTATTACATAGATATTTTAGATCCTGCAATAATGTAACTCCACCCAGAACGAAAACGGTAAAACAATTTCGACAGTGTTAAGTCTAATTAATACAGATATTGACTAATATCCTTTAAATATCCTATTGACATAATCACCTCTCTACCTATCGCTCCACACCTAAATGATTATCAGTGTTACTGTAGCAACAAAACCAATGTTCTGCGAAATTATGATGTTGTTATCTATATAAAAAAATATATTAGGGATGCCCTTAATAGAGGAACCTGAATTCGTTTACGCTAACTGTTTCTTATTGAAGTTCGGCAAACAAACAATATTCTGTTTCTGCGCAGACCATTTGTAACTTTGGCGGTGATTTTGAATTATCTTCTATGTATTATGGGGAGCATACTAGGTTCCATGAGCAGTATAGAATTGAGGTCTGTAGAGAAATACCGGATTCTCGGGATTAATTAGAATTAGACTTAATTCTAAATGAAGTCTTAATTATAAGGGGTAAAATTAAGTCGTAACATTGGGAAGAAACAATATTATGTGTACATTTTAATAAATAATGACACATCTGGGTTAGATGGTATAAGAGAATACTGCTGTAATTGTCTTATTGGTCGATGTACACTGGGATGCTGTACTCATATAATGACCATAGTTTGGTATCTTGGATAGGCCAGACACGAACAGAATGTAGCTGCTCCTGCAGAATTCCGTGATGAGGTATTCATTAGTGTTGTAATAAAGAAAAGAAAAATCAACATGTTGTTTTGCTATATACCCTTATACCCTTTTGAAATTAGTATTTTCACTACTACTTTATATACGTTATAGTGTAAAGTAGAGTTATTGAGAGCAATCTTAAAAATTCTATTATTATTTTTTTGGAGGCTCATTGGTTCACAAAAAATGTTTTTATTTCTTACAGTGAATAAAAATAATATATCAGAGATGGAGCAAGTTTGAAGTGTTATGTGAAAATATGCACTTCTAGGGCCACGATTGGGCATTATCTGACGTGTGCTTTACATATTTCAACTGTAATATCTCTAACTCAAAATGCTACAGTTTAAATAATACGACATAACCTCAAAAACATATTACACAATTACTCGATACTTTCAGCTTTTAAAATTATATTTAATGTCTTTCTATATTCTAGTTACATAGGCAAACAAAATAACATATGTTTCATCAAGTTACGTTTTATTCGATTTTGCTAATCCAAGCATGTTAGGCAGATGGCCATTGTTCTTTCAAGTTATTGCGCACCATTGCTAAGATATGCATAAAAACGCAAGATGCACTTCCCCCATGCTAAAAAGAATAAATACCATTACATATCTATGTGTTATAACTGATTGTTATTTGATATTTAAACAACACGTGGAAAGAATCGCATTTCGAAACAGGAATCTTATTTTTGCTTTCAAAAATCGGCGTCACGTTGCAAACAGTAACCTGCTGAAATCAGTATATTTTTCCTTGTGTCAGTCTTTAATTCAGTTATTAAATTACGTCATGGGGCAGATCTTATAAAACAACTTTAATAGAACTAGAAATAAATCAAAGAACCTTTTACGTCCTCTTCGTTATCCAACTAGCCTACTCCTAGCAGAATATGATGTTCTCTTTGTGCGCCAGCTATTCATCCTTAAACATTCACAAACACCATATGATCCATCACCCTTGAAATCCCAAGGAGGATTGATCATAAGGTATAATAAATTACGAGTACATTATTTCTCAAAGAAAACTCGCATAAATTTTTCTGTTTTCTAAGTCCCTATTTATACAATAATCTGTACTTTAAAATACAACTTGAAAAATAAAGCGAATTGCAAAATTATTGTTCAAAACTGGCTAAAAAATAAGACAAGAGACCGAGGACTTAATAAAAGACCCCATATAAGTAATTATAAAATATTTTTAGTTTATCATATTAATAACAGCCAGCATAGATTTCCATTAAATTGTCATTAGTATAAAACGACATTACCAATTCATATTTAACGTTCATTAGAGCTGTAAGGCGTCACGTTTGTGCAACTGGCCTTAAGTAATTTAAGTAAATAGTCTAGCACGTGCTATAATGACACTGAAATTGATCGATTAATATAATATTTTTCTTTTATATAATTTTATTTCTAATAGAAAGCGATGCATAAGAAACATGTAAAATAATTTACTTAGTTTACATATCATTGATACTGACCTACATAGGTACCTGTAATAAACTACTATTTCTACTATATTAGGTATCATCAGTATTAACAACATCATTTCATGTAAAATTTAGATGCTTGATTTAATTCTTGTAACTATATGTTAATTTGAGTTTTAAAATGTTTTTGTTTATAACTGAAAAAAATATACTTAAATCCCCTTTGTCCCTGGTACTTTGTCTGGTCTTGTGTCTAGTATGATACATAAACTAAGTAAATTATTTTACATGTTACTTATGCATCGCTTCCTATTCCTACTATGGTACTCTGAGACAAAGTAACAGGGACAAAGTGGATTTTTAATCATTTTTCTTTAAGAATATACAGGGTAATATTTTTTGATTCAATAATTAATAATCGAAAATAACTTTGTACCTTCAAAGTTTAGACATCCCTAAATATTTTTATTGAAATATTAGCTGTATTCCCGTGTGCGTAGATCAGCTCCCAGAAGGTAAAAAAAAAAATTTCATTATCGGATTAGTATATCCTAACAAGCAAACAAAGTTAGAAGAAACTCTAACTTTTTATAATAAATATATAGAAATAGATATAGGTTCTGATATATAATCTATTTTACATTTTTAGGTTTTTTAAAAAGAAAAACAGAGATCTTACAGGGTCGCCCAGTTGTCTGTCTGTTTGAACCACTAAATTTATCGATTGTCCTTTTATTTAATTATGATGTAAAATAAAATTATTCATTTCTCCGTCCGTTCTCACAGCTGATTTTCTCCGAAACAGTACTTTAGGACACTGATTTCAGTCAGAACATTTCGTCCAGTAGGACTATTTTTTACATACTAACATCGAAATATTAATAGCTTCATCGACCTTACAATCATCCAATAATTTTAAGCGGAGTATTATCATTATGGCGTGATTGTTGAGTGTTGGTCGTCCCACAACAATTCCCCTTCAATGGGGGCTGTTTTTGTTGTAATTACGCGCGACTTATTCAAACCCACAAACTGCATGTTCTTTAATTTGAGGGGTCGGCGAGTGCACACTTAAAAGCTTAGAATTATCTGTATGCTTATTATTGTAATAAAAATCTTTTCTTGAAGTGTTCGTCTTTTGAATTTTTAGCATAAACAATTATGAAAGCTTTTTTGTTATTATGAACACTTAACAACGTTAAATTATATCGTTAAAAAAATATAATGGCACAATTCCATTACTTTGTTTCTTTCTTCTTTTCTATTTCTTTCTTTAGTTAAAATACGTTACAAGTAATCCCTAACACAATTATGTTTCATATTAAAATATAAAAAATAGGACCATACTAAGAACATACTGCGCAATTTGACTTTTATTG